TTTTAAATTTTTCTGCCATTATTTAGTTCAACAAACGTTTTAGTACCTGCTATGTGCTGAGTTCTTTGGACACAAGGGTGGTTAAACACAGACTTGTATTGTTATTATTAGTGTTAATTTATTTTGGAGACAGCCTTGCTCTGTCACCCAGGCTGGAGCGCAGTGGTGTGGTCATGGTTCATTGCAGCCCTGACTGTGTATCTCCTCCGGCACCTAAATTATTCCTGTCTCCTATTTGACTTCGCTTGGCACACTAATATCGTTGAGAAGCAATAATAGTTCTGCCAGTTGCCCTTCCTTGAGAGTTGTACCATTCTCTAGATCTCAAAGGCTCACTCTTCACTTCAGACTATCCATGATGTATTGCCCTTACAACCACCTGTATTCTGCGTTTTTTTTCATTTCCACAGTCATTACTCATTAACACATCCCAAATAAAACTCAGTTTGCTTTCCTCTTTCTGTTCTCCCTATCTCAGTAAAAAACCTCATCTACACAGTTTTGTCCTTACTGTTCTTCCCTTCACCTTTCACATCTGATCAGTCACGAAGGCTTGTCATTTTGATCTTCTAAGTATCTTTCTAAGCCACCTGCCTTTCCTCATCCCCACTACCATTGCCTTAGTTCAAGCAACCATGAGTCTCTCCCTCCCTGGATTACTACAGCTGTTCGTTCTTGGACCTGCAGCCACTTTAATGGCTTAGAAAAGGCAAGTTTCTAGTTGCTTTTGTCGGTCTTCAGGATAAATTTCAAACTCCTAAATTCTTTAGCATGGCTTATGCAGCCCTTTATGATCTGATCTGGTCTCTGTTTTTGCTTCTAAACTATTTAGACTCTACTCTCTGGTATTTGGGTTTCAATCGTGCACTGAACTACTGCTCTGTATAAAACATACCCTCTGCTAAGAACATACATCCTCTGCTTCCCTACGTTCTCTACTATTTAAAATTGCCATTATTCAGATCTGAGTTTATATGTCGCTCCAAGTAAGTTTTCCTGATTCTCACTCTACCTGAGCCTCCTAAATCTAGGTAAGATGGCCTTTATTAGGGCTTGCTGTGGCGGTCTGTTAGTACTTACATGTTGTAATTGTCAGTTTTCTTGTCATCCCCAGTTAGATTGTAACTACTGTGGAGGCAGTGACTGAATCTTACTTATTTACACCTAGTAACTTGCTCTGTACCTGGCACATGGTAGGCATTTACTGTGTATTTATTGAAGAAGTAACTGAAAATGGTATCTCATTCAGGAGTCTCTGCATTCCTCTGTCACACTCTACTATATACATTGATTTACTGGTTTACATGATACTGCTAGTTTAGTCAGACACTTTTCATTGTGTGTGTTTTTTCCACTGACACCTTTTTATTTCCAGCATCTGGTTGGTGCTCATAAATGTGCTGAGTGTATGATTAAAGAAACTTCTAAGTCAGATTAAGTGGAATGGGGAGTAGTTCAAAGAGTTTGGGCAGGCTATTGCTTATGTTCTTTTTTGAAGGGTTTGGTAGAAGTTATTTGCAGAGAGAAAGGACAAAAGGGTGTTCCAGGTAGATGGAACAGAATACACCTGAAAAAAAGCACCAAGCTTTTGGGTAACAAGAGTTCACAATGGCCCAAGGCAGAAATGTTTTATGTGTTGGGAGTATCAGGAAGTATAGCCTCACTATAGAGGTAAAGGGTGAAGACAGAAGATTTTTAAGCCCCTATGTGGTGTAACCAGATGGACATTTTGTAAAGGTTAGTTTGGGCCGTGGTTATGCATTATGCACCTTAGATTATTGGAAGGTAACTAGATCGGGAGAAGAGAGATCAGAATGTTATTTTAGTGACTTAGGCTAGAAGTGATGAGGGGCCAGTGCCAGAGGAAAAGGTTTGAGGGACTTAGGATATAGGGTCTGGATGGTGAAAGAAGCATTTAGGATAACTGGGTGGATGAGATATCTTTGACAGAATTGGGAATATCGAAGAAGAGCCGGTTTAGATAGAACACATTGAGTTCAAGATGCCTTTTTGAAATAGAGGTATCAAGTAGGTGCATAGATATTTGAATGTGGAACCTGTTAGGATGCTCAGTCTCGTATTTCCTGGGGATGCTTTCTGAAACCATACGCTCAAATTATCATCTGTATGCCAAATAGTTTTTAAAGAAACTGAACTTTTGAAACTTTGGTTGTTTTATTAGCCAATAAGTTCACATAATTGCTAAAGTTAAGAATGTATGTTGTGTATGGTAGGTGAAAGGTTTCCAAGTTCGGAGAATGATTTAGGGCAATAATTTTACCCTAAAGTTACGGGTACATTTAAAATATTTGGGTTGAATTTTTCATTTATCTTCCATTTTTGGAAATAAAGATTATAATAATCATAATGTAAGTAAAAATTCAGTCTTAAGTGAAGGCACAGTATAAAAGTTACTATTGTGAAACTTCCTTAGTTTTTCTAGCTCTTTGTGTCAGGAAGGATGTTCTTGAGTTGGATTGTGCAAAAGTTCATTCTGTCTAAAAGTTGAATTTATCTGTTTTTCTGCCTTATTTTTGCTTTTTAATTAAATTGCTAAATTAGGGGTGAGAAAATTTATTCTAAAATGTTTGCTGTGGTCACCAGAACTCTTTTAATAAGTTATATCTGATACATAACTTATTAAGGAGAAAAACAAAATGCAGTTTCTGTTGCTTTTAGCAGGCCATCATTGGAAGTTTTATAAATGTACTTACCTGCTTGGGCATCTTAGCAAATATTTAACAATAGATAAGAGCCTGGAGGGCATGAGACATTTTTATCCCAAAAGGAAAACTTTCCTCCTTTTTTGTAGTACTTTTACACTTAGAATATTCCTTCTTGTGTAAATATTTTACCTTTTTAATAATTTTGCCAGGTACAGACAAGCAAGGAACTCTTAATACCTTTTAATCTCTCTGTTCTTTATGATGTCTGGCACATAATTGCTTCATAAAAGTTTGTTGAATTGAGTTTTATACATTCAGTTTAGCACCACCAAGTGGCAAGTCTTTGAATGCTCTTGATATATTTTGCTTCCTATGGACATCTGATTCCCAATTGAGTGGGAGTGTGATTGTTAATTTTTTTTTTGAGGCAGAACTAATTTCTTTTTTTATTTTAGTTCTTTATTTTCTTTTTAGTGAGAATATCCTCATATATGTATGTACTTATTTTTACTTAGGTTTTTACTATTTAAAACAAGAGACTTTCCGTGTAAATTATTTTTTATACAGCTTGTTTCCCTGCCCCCCGCCCCGACATGGCCTTGGTGTGCGGCCCAGGCTGGAGTGCAGTGTGTGATCTTGGCTTACTGCAGCCTCCACCTCCTGGGCTCCAGCGATCCTCCCACTCCAGCCTCCTGAGTAGCTGGGACTAAAGGCATGCACCGTCACACCCAGCTACTTTTTGTATTTTTTGTAGAGATGGGGTGTTGCCATGTTGCTCCATCTCGTTCGGACTCTTGGCCTTAAGTGATCCACTCACCTAGGCCTCCTAAAGTGCTGGGATTATAGGTGAACCACCGTACCTGGCCTATACAGCTATTTTTGAGATACAATTGATGTGATAGGCCACATGTATTTAGAGTACACAACTTTTGACTTTTGTGTATACCATGAACCCGTGAACACAATTATGATAATGATGTTTTCACCATCTCTGTTAGTTTTCTTATGACTCACCGTACTCCATCACTCCATGTGTCCTGAGGCAACCACTGAGCATTTTTTTTGGTCACTATAAATTAGTTTTAATTTTCTAGAACTTAATATAAATTCAGTTATATAGTATATATTTTGTTTTTGTGTGGCTTTCTTTAGGATAATTATTTTGAAATTCATTCATGTTGTTGTATGTATCATTAGGTTTCTTTTTTTTCCCCCAAATAATATCCATTGGGCTGGGCATGGTGGCTCACGCCTGTAGTCCCAGCACTTTGAGAGGCTAAGGCGGGTGGATCACAAGGTAAGGAGTTCAAGACCAGCCTGACCAACATGGTGAAACCTTGTCTCTACTAAAAATGCAAACATTAGCTGGACGTGGTGATATGTGCCTGTAATCCCAGCTGCTCGGGAGGCTGAGGCAGGAGCATTGCTTGAATATAGGAGGCAGAGGTTGCAGTGAGCTGAGATCGTGCCACTGCACTCCAGCCTGGGTGACAGAGCAAGACTGTCTCGAAAAAAACCCACAAATAATATTCATTGTATGGGTATATCACATTTTGTTTATCTGGTCTTGTGTTTGATAGATATTTGGGTTATTTCCACTTTGAGTGTTACAAATTAAGCTGCTCTTAGGCCGGGTGCAGTGGCTCACACCTGTAATCCCAGCACTTTGGAAGGCCGAGGTGTGTGGATCACCTGAGGCCAGGAGTTCAAGACCAGCCTGACCAACATGGAGAAACCCTGTCTCTACTAAAAATACAAAAGTAGCTGAGTGTGGTGGTACATGCCTGTAATCCCAGCTACTTGGGAGGCTGAGGCAGGAGAATTGCTTGAATCCGGGAGGTGGAGGTTGTGGTGAGCCGATATCTTGCCACTGCACGCCAGCCTGAGCAACAAGAAAGAAACTCCGTCTCAATCAATCAATCAATCAATCAATCAATAAAATAAAGCTGCTCTGAGCATTGGTGTACGTCTTTTATGAAAATATACTTTCATTTTTCTTGATAGGATACCTGAGAATGGAGTGGCTGGATCATATATATTAGTTGTATGTGTAGCATTCTAACACAGTGCGAAATTGTTTTCCAAAGTAGGTGTAGTGTTTTATGTTTCCACTGGCAGTGTATGAAAGTTCCAGTTGCTTCATATTTTTGCCCATATTTAATGTCAGTCATTTTAATTATAGCCATTCTAATAGGTGTGTAATAGTGTTTCATTATGGTTTCAGTTTACATTTTTGTAATGGCTAATGGTGTTGAGTATTTTCCATGTGCTTATTTGCTGCCCTTGTATCTTCTTTGATGAAGTGTCTGTTTAAATCTTCTGCTTATTTTTTTCAAATTTTTTTTTTTTTTTTGTTACTGAGTTTTTAGTGTTCTTTTTATGTCCTGGATTTTATGTTCTGGATACAAATCCTTTCAATACAAGTTCAGTTGGGTCTTTTTTAAAAAGTTATTTCTTTTTATTCATCTTATATAAAAGGGGGGGCAAATATAAGAAAATAATGTTATGTCAAAGTTTGGTTTTTAAAGCACAAACTTCCAGAATTTGTTTTAAGGTTCATACATAGAATGGTAGCTTTTAGTCACCTGAGAATCAGGAAATTCACATGAAGGTAATTCCTTGTAGTGACAAAGAACTGTGGCTTCCTATGGGTTTGTCAAGCTCCTAGGCTTCATTCAGCCTGAAATTGTACTTTTCTTGTTATGTATAAATTAAATAAAATTTATACAACTCTCTGTTCTTGTGTTGTCTCACATCATGTCTAAAAACAGCATTTAAAGTTTGCAGGAAATAGAATTATAGCCTGTTACAAAGCAAACACTTTGTTTCTTTAACTCAGAATTCTGGAAATGCAATCAAGTTCTAGTATTGTGACTTCCAAAATATTTTGTCATCAGATATTATTTTTTTTCAAGTGTCTAACTCCATACAAGAAAATAATGAAAGTATCAGAAGTTACTTGTGATTATTAAAAAAAAAAACTTCAGTGTCCATAGGGTTGTTCCTCATTGTTTGTTAGGATACTCCTGCCTGATCCAAGTCCATCGGGTCTGAGGCTGTTTTTTGTTCCACGCTTGTATCTGCTAGAAGAGTCTTTTTAGGTAAGGAGGCCGTCATGCGAGGCAGTGGAGCTTCTAGCTGTTGTCCAAGGAATGAAAGCAGGCACCTCCAGATAAGGCCACTTCCCATGAACGTAATTCCTGTAATCAGCCAAAACACTCGTTGGGCCTCTTCAAGGGGAGATTCCAAACTCATTCCAAAAGCAACTCCCATTACTCCAAAGAGCAAAAGAGAGAAGGTTCTTATGGTCAGCTGTAGATTCAACTTCATTATCACGTTACGGTGGCTGTCAGGATTGATGAAAATAATACTTTGTGAATCATCAATCAGTACTCTAAGCTCCTAAGCTGCATTGGAGAGATCGTCAGCCAGTTGGTAGTAGTTTTCCATCAGCAACTCCATCTCCTCTGCATGGTCAGTCCCATTACTGCTCTTTTCAAAGACTTGTGGGTCACTCCATTTTGATAGAACTCTTCTAGCAACTCTTCCTCATCCAAGATCTCCAAGATTGACTCTTTGAAAATTTTAATATCTGTTTCTAACTCTAGTAGACTTTTGCTGTTCTGTAGTAAAATGTGGAGTTTGCTTCTGTCTATAGAAGAATGTTTGGGGTCCACCAAAGCTTCCAACGTCTCGAGGATCAGTGGCTGGAAAATGCTAAGTTTCACCTGAAGGGTGTTGATCAAGTATTGCGGGAGCGCTTCTATAGCTCTAAACTCAAAAAGTTAAAGGGTTTATAACAAGTTGACCCTCTCCAGACAATTGTGAAGAGAGTTCTCGGAACAGCCATTGCTGTGAGTTTAAATTATGATAATCTAAAATCAGAAGACACTCTCGAGTTATCCCAGCTTTCAAATACTCCATTCTCATGATAATCCTATTATTTCTGGCTGTGATACTCATTACATGGTGAAATCTCAAATCTCTGGCTTGAAGACCTAACTCTTGGTATAACTCAAGTGTTCTTCCCTTTAAAAGAAGTAACATTTCTCTGTCAAATTTTGTCGTGGTAAATACTGGGGCTACACTGGCTAGAGTGGTTTGAAAGACATCAGAAGTTCTAAACCAGTGCATTTCACCTGCCATGTGGAGCTGGCAGGTTTCGCACAGTGGCGCGACCCAGCTCCTTCTGAGCAGGTTGGCTGCACAGCCACAGGCAGCAACGGGAGAAGCCACAGAATTTTTGTTCTGTGCCCGGGCTGAAGTGCAGTGATATGATCATGACTCATTACAACCTTTAATTCCTGGGCTCAAGTGATCCTTTCGCCTCAGCCTTCCAAGTAGCTAGGACTACAGGCATGTACCACCATGCCTGGCTAATTTTTTTGTTTTGTAGACATGGGGTCTAGCTGTGTTGCCCAGACTGGTCTTGAACTCCTGCCCTCAAGGTGATCCTCCTACTTGGGCCTCTGTATTAATCAGTTTTTACACTGCTATAAAGAAATACCTGAGGCTGGGTGCAGTGGCTCATGCCTGTAATCCTAGCACTTTGGGAGACCAAGGTGGGCGGATCATGAGGTCAGGAGATCAGGACCATCCTGGCCAGCATGGTGAAATCCTGTCTCTACTAAAAATACAAAAATTAGCCAGGTGTTGTGGCATGTGCTTGTAGTCCCAGCTACTTGGGAAGCTAAGGCAGGAGAATTGCTTGAACCTGGGAGGCAGAGCTTGCAGTGAGCCGAGATTGTGCCGCTGCACTCCAGCCTGGCGACAGAGCAACGCTCCATCTCAAAAAAAAAAAAATAAAAAATAAAAAAAAAATGCCTGAGACTCAGTAATTTATAGAGAAAATAGGTTTAATTGGCTCATGGTTCTACAGGCTGTACAGGAAGCATGATGCTGGCATCTGCTCAGCTTCTGGGAGGCCTCAGGAAACTTACAGTCATGGTGGAAGACAAAGAACAAGCTAACAGGTCACATAGAGAAGGAGGAAGGGGGAGGGGGAGATGCCACACACTTTAAAACCAGATCTCATGAGAACTCACTGTTGTGATGACAGCATAAAGAGTGGATGGTGTTAAACGGTGAGAAACCACCCCCACCATTACCTCCCCCCAGGCCCCACCCTCAACAATGGGTATTGCAGTTCAAAATGAGATTTGGGGGGGGGGGGCACAGATCGAAACCGTATCATTCCTCTTCCGGCCCCTCCCAAATCTCCATGTCCTTATCACATTTCAGAATATAATCATACTTTCCCAGTAGTCCCTCAAAGTCTTAACTCATTTCTAGCATTAACTCAGAAGTCCAAAGTCTCATCTGAGACAAGGTTAGTCCTTTCCACCTATGAGGCTGTAAAATGAAAAACAAGTTAGTTACTCCCAAGATCCTAGTTATAGGCATTGGGTAAATACTCCCATTCCAAAAGGGAAAAATCTGCCAAAAGAAAGGGGCTACAGGCCCATGCAAGCCTGAAACCCAGCAGGGCAGTCATTAAATCTTAAAGCTCCAAAATAATCTCTTTTGACTTCATGTCCCACACTTAGGGCACACTGATACAAGGGGTGGGCACCCAAGGCTTTTGACTTCATGTCCCACACTTAGGGCACACTGATACAAGGGGTGGGCACCCAAGGCCTTGGACAGCTCTGCCCTGTGGCGTTGCAGGGCTCAGTCCCCATGGCTGCTTTCAAGGGCTGGCATTGTGTGCCTGTGGCTTTTCCAGGCTAAGAGTGCAAGCTCTTGGTGGATTTATCATTCTGGGATCTGAAGGACAATGGCCCTCTTCTCACAGCTCCACTAGGCAGTGCCTTTGTGGAGGCACCAATCCTACATTCCTCCTCCTCACTGCCCTAGTAGAGGTTCTTCATGAGGACTCTGCCCCTGCATCAGGGTTCTGCTTGGCTTCTCCATACATCCTCTGAATTCTAGGCAGAGACTCTCAAGCTTCAGCTGTTGCGTTCTGTGCACCTGCAGGCTTAAATTAACATCGTGTGGAAACTGCTAGGGCTTATAGCTTGTGCCTTGTGAAGCAGCAGCCTGAGCTTTACCTGGAGCCTTTTGAGTCACAGCTGGAGCTGGAGTGTCTGGGATGCAGGGAGCAGTGTCTGAGGTTGTGCAGGGCAGCAGGATCCTCGGCCTGGCCAAGGAGACCATTTTTCTCTCCTATGCCTTGGTCCTGTGATGGGAATGGCTGCTGCAAAGGTCTCTGAAATGCCTTCAAGGCCTTTTTCCCATTGTCTTGGCTATCAGCACTTGCCTTTCTGGTAGTTATGCAAATTTCTGCTGTGGGCTTGAATTGCTTTCCTGAAAATGTACTTTTCTTTATTGCCACATGGCGAGGCTGCAAATTTTCTAAACTTTTATGTCCTGCTTACCTTTTAAATATAGGTTCCAGTTTCAGGTCATTTATTTGCATATGCATATGAGCATAGGTTGTTAGAAGCAGCCAGGCCACATCTTGAATGCTTTGCTGCTTAGAAATTTCTTCCATTAGATACCCTAAATCATCCCTCTCAAGTTCAAAGTTCCACAGATCCCTAAAGCAGGGGCACAGTACAGCCAGGTTGTTTGCTAAGACATAGCAAAAGTGACTTTTACTCCAGTTCCCAGTAGTTCCTCATTTCCATCTGAGACCTTGTCAGCCTGGCCTTCACTGTCATATCACTACCAGTATTTTGGTCACAACCATTCAACCAGTCTCTAAGAAATTCCAAACTTTCCCTCATCTTCCTATCTTTGAGCCCTCCACACTCTTCTAACCTCTGTCTGTTACCCAGATCCAAAGCTGCGCCCACATTTTAAGGTGTCTTTATAGCAGTGCCCATTCCTGGTACCAATTTTCTGTATCAGTCAATTGTCACTCACTGCTATAAAGAAATACCTGAGACTGGGCAAGTTATAAAGAAAAGAGGTTTAATTGGCTCACGGTTCTTCAGGCTGTACAGGAAGGGTGATGCTGGCTTCTGCTCAGCTTCTAGGGAGGCCTCAGGAAACTTAAAATCATGGCGGGAGGCAAAGAGTGAGCCAACACTTCACATAGAGCAGGAGGAATAGAGAGAGGATACGTGCCACATACTTTTAAACAACCATCTCATGAGAACTCACTACTGCCAAGACAGCACCAAGGGGAATGGTGCTAAACCATGAGAAACTGCCCGCATAATCCCATTACCTCCCACCAGGCCCTGTCTCCAACATTGGGGATTACAATTTAACATGAAATTTGGGCAGGGACACAGATCCAAACCATACCACCCTCCCACAGTGCTGGGATTACAGGCATGAGCCACTGCGCCTGGCCGAGTTGTGACTTTAGTGTCTTGAACATATGCGATAGACTTAAAATAATACTTTAATATCCTTCACTACTGATTATTTGTGTTGCTTTGTGGTCAGTGGTAATTGATTACTCTTTCTTGTTATAGATCATATTTTCCTGGCTCTTAGCATGCCTTAGTGGTAAATTTTTTACTGGAAAATGTCAGATATGTTGAATTCTCTTTTTTTGGATGCTAGTTATTTTTGTGTTCTGTAAAATACTGAGCTTTGTGTTAGAAGGCACTTAAGTTGCTTGGAGTCAGTTTGGTACTTTTGGGTCTTGCCTTTAAACTTTGCTAAATGGTATCAGCACAGTGTTTAGTATAGAACTAATTTTGCCTCACTGATGAGGCAAGGGAGTGCTTTGTGAATTATGAAATTTTCCACTCTGTTGCAAACAGCTATGTGAGTCTGCAGATAGTTTCTTCTAATAGTTTCCCTCTTGCCTTGAGGAGTTTACTGACAAACATGCACTGTTCCATACTCTGCTGAATACTCGAGGAAGACTGCAGATTTCTTGAGTTCCCTGTGTGTTCTTCTCTTTTCTCTGGTACTTTCTCCTGTGAACTCTAGCTGTATTGGCATCCCCTGTTGCCCACATCCCTCTCCTCACTGGACGCCTTCTGAGTTTTCTCTCCCTTTCCCATAGCTGGGAACTCACAATGGTAAGCTAGACAATTGTATTGCTAACTTCATTTGGCTCCTTTCTCTCAGTAGTCACTATCATTCATTGTTTGATGGCGGGAGTATTGTGAAAACCATTGTTTCATAGGTTGGTCAGTATTTTTAGTTTTTTATTATTATTATTATTATTATTTTCCTGGTGGGAGGTTAAATCCAGCCTGTCATTCCATCTTGGCCAGAAGTGGAAGTTTTTATATAGGGTTTCTTTTTCCTTTCTGTTTTTGGTGGAATTAATATCTATCTCTTCTGTACATCTTTTTTCCCCTTCAATCGTAGGCTGAGTGTTTGTTTTCCAAATTTGTTCTTTTTGTTGTTATGAACTCTTAAGATGGCTTTTTTTCTCCCAAGATTTTACTATTTCCTTCTTGTTGATCTGCATTAATTCTCTTTTCTGTTCTGTACCTTCTGACAGGCAACATTATCAGCAAGATAATTCAAGAATTTTAACAGATGGTATGTGTTTAGAGAATGTGCCAGTAGATGTTTGAGTAGCTGAAGGTCATCATCATATACATAGAGTGGTTTTATACTAGTTTGTAATTTGTATTTAAGTGTCTTTTTTTCTCCCATCTCGTTGATAGTCTGTATAATCTTCCAAAACAATAGCATTCCTCTCCCTCCAACCTTTTCTTTTGCAGATTAACTTGGTGACAGGTGGTGCTACTTCCTCAAATCTCTGCTTGATCTGTTCTTCCCTTTCTTTTTCTCGAGGTATATTTTTTCATTGTTGAATTTGTGTCATGTTTTCCATCAGACAAAATTCCTTCAGTACCCTTGAGATTGATTTAGATCCTATTTAAGACTTTACATTTTGTGTATTACTTTGTTTTCACACTGCTATAAAGAAATACCTGAGACTAGGTAATTTATAAAGGAAAGAGGTTTTAATTAACTCACAGTTTCGAATGGCTAGGGAGGCCTCAGGAAACTTCACGGCAGAAGGCGAAGGGGAAGCAAGGCATGTCTTACATGGCAGCAGGAGAGAGTGAGTGCTCAGGGGAAACTGCCACTTTTAAACCATAAGATCTTGTGAGAACTCCCTCACTATCATGAGAACAGCATGGGGGAAACTGTCCTTATGATCCAATCACCTCCCATTGGGTTCCTCCCTCGACATGTGGGGATTACAATTTGAGATGAGATTTGGGTAGGGATGCAGTTAAACCATATCATTTTGTGTTTATCATCAGTAATTTTTAGCATTTTTATTGTAAAACAAAATTCAGACACTGAAAATCACACTTACCATATAGCTCAACGAGTCATAAGGCAAACCTTCTTGTAATCACCACTTAGATTAAAAAATAGACCTTTGCCAGGAGATTGAGACCATCCTGGCTAACATGGTGAAACTCCGTCTCTACTAAAAATACAAAAAAATTAGCTGGGCGTGGTGGCGGGGGCCTGTAATCCCAGCTACTCAGGAGGCTGAGGCAGGAGAATGGCGTGAACCCTGGAGGCGGAGCTTGCAGTGAGCCAAGATCACGACACTACACTCCAGTGTGGGCGACACAGCAAGACTCTGTCTCAAAAAAAAAAAATAAGACCTTTGCCAATAACTCCAGATGACCTTCCATGTACCACCCCTTGTCTCCTAAGAAACTGTTACCCTAATTTTTGTCATAATCACTTTCTTGCATTTCTTTATTATTAGTAGTATTAAAACATAGCTGTTGTGTCTTTTTTTAAAAAAAGATCTTCGATATCTTTTACGTCGTGTTACTGGGTACTTAAGAGTGTTGTTTTTCTTGGCCCGGTGCGGTAGCTCATGCCTGTAATCCCATCACTTTGGGAGGCCGAGGCGGGTGGATCACGAGGTCAGGAGTTCAAGACCATCCTGGCTAACGTGGTGAAACCCCATCTCTACTAAAAATACAAAAAAATTAGCCAGGCGTGGTGGCGGGTGCCTGTGGTCCCAGCTGCTTGGGAGGCTGAGGCAGGAGAATGGCGTGAACCCAGGAGGCAGAGCTTGCAGTGAGCCGAGATTGCGCCACTGCACTCCAGCCTGGGCGACAGAGCGAGACCCGTCTCAAAAAAAAAAAAAAGTTTTGGTTTTCTTAATCAGTTGCACCTTTTGCCTTTTTATTGTATGTGATTTTTTGGGGGGTTATCTTGTTATTCTCTTCAAATTTCAATTTAAATTCATTTACCCAAATACATTATTTCTTGATTTTAAAAGATTGTACCATATACGAATTATGGTTCACCCCGCCCCCATACTGCCAAACCAACCAAATCTTGATTTTGACACTATGTATCCTTCGAGCAGTTTTCATATTCAGTGTTCTCTGCTAGATGAACTGGAAGATGAAATGAAAACATCATTTATATCCCCATTCGAGATGTATTTTAGGTAAGTTTTTGCTATATAATTTGTTCCCTTGTAAAATATCTCAAATTAGTAAATTGTTAGGTTTGGGGAGTAATATCTCAGATATGGCCTGGGAAACTGATTAGGCTGTTCTGTTTTTACATATTGATACCTCTGTATCCCTAAGGTAACAGTCATGAGAATGTGTTGCCTATACATTCTTTTACTATTTGAGATGCATGGTGCTGATTCTTTGTGGAATTTGGCTTCTTATGGAAGGAGTCTTAAACGTGTTGCACATCTCTGGTAGTGTAGACTTTTGTTTCGGTCTTTTTCTTCTTTTAGGCTTCAGTTTGCCAGATTCCTGATTGTAGTTTCCATAGACCTTTACCTTCTTGGGATATATATTTTTTCTTTTTTTTCCTGACTTGTTTTTTTCTACTGTTCCTATGAGCTCTTCATTTTCTCTCAAATCTTAGGTAGTAGAAAGGAAGAAAGGGACTGCTGATGCTCTTTCTTTGCTTCCTGTAGTACAGAGGACCTACTCATGTTCACAGCACTGGTAGTTGGTGAATACTACTGATTGGGATGCAAACAGCACGTAGGATATTGGAACAGTTTTGTCAGTGTCCATATATGCTGAGCCTTAAGTTGATAGCCTTTTTCATTATGTACTCTTTGGACAAATAAAACTTGTAGAGTAGACCTTTCAGTCTCAGCCCTAGAGTAGTGGAAGAAGCTTGAGCAAATCACTTGATTTTCTTGCAGTTTTTTCAGTTACAAGATGGGAATGATAATATCTATCTAACTGAATTTTGAGGGTCAGATTTGATAATGTAGAAATGTTTTTGTAAAGTAAAGGGTAATAAAAATATTACATAGCAGATAAAAGCATTTGAAGCTTTCTTTAAAAATTTAATTTTTTTTTTCTTAAAAGATGGGGATCGGGGGGCATCTTGCTTTACTGCCCAGGATGGTCTTGAACTGCTGGCCTCAAGTGGTCCTCCTGTGTTGGCTTCCCAGTGTCCTGGGATTACACTGCGTCTGCCCAGAACCTTTTAATTTTGCGTTAGAGATCATGAATAAAACCAGAGTGAAGCAATTGAAAGCTTATTCTACTAACAAATGTTATCTGAGGTGAAATTATTCACATCATAATTGTTCCCTGTAGCAAAATAATTTTTTGTAACAAATATGCCTGGAGATAGCTTTTCAAATGTCAGTTATTACAGTTGATAAACATAAGAAGCAGAATGTTCTATGGCAGGATACTAAAGAATCAATTCATGATAGAGTCTAAGAAATATCTTCGTTATTATATATTATTGAAGTTTTAATTGGACTTTAAAAAATCTAGATTTTGCTTTTATTTTTTAATTGGCACATAATAATTGTACATATTTATGGAGTATAGTGTGATAATTTGATATATCTATATAATGTGTAATCAAATCTTAGCCTATCTATTACTTAGAACATTTATTATTTCTTTGTGTTAGAAGCATTCACAATCTCTTCTATTTGAAAATATACAATAAATTGTTAATTATATCATGTAATAGTGCTGTAGAACATTAGAATTTATTCTTCCTGTCTAGCTGTACTTTAGTATTGATTAACCAACCTTTGTCTACTTCCCTTCCCCCAACCCTTCCCTGCCTGTAGTAACTGCTATTCTCCTTTCTACTTCGATGAAGCCAACTGTTTTAGCTTCTACATATGAGTTAGAACATGTGGTATTTATCTTTCTGTGGCTGGCTTATTTTACTTAACATATTCCTTGATGCTCATCCATGTTACTGCAAATGACAGGATTTTTTTCATTTTTGTGGCTTAATAGTATACCATTGTGCATATATACCATATTTTCTTTCTTTTTTTGTTTTTTGAGACAGAGTTTCACTCTTCTTGCCCAGGCTGGAGTGCAATGGCGTGACCTTGACTCACCACAGCCTCTGCCTCCCGGGTTCAAGTGATTTTCCTGTCTCAGCCTCCTGAGTAGCTGGAATTACAGGCATGTGCCACCACGCCTGGCTAATTTTGTATTCTTAGTAGAGACGGGGTTTCTCCCTGTTGGTCAGGCTGGTCTCGAACTCCCGACCTCAGGTGATGTGCCCACTTCGGCCTCCCAGAGTGGTGGGATTACAGGTGTGAGCCACTGTGCCTGGCCACCACATTTTCTTTATCCAGTCATCTGTTGGTGGACTCTTAGATTGACTCCGTATCTTGGCTATTGTGAATAGTGCAGCAGTAAACTTGGGAGTGCTTCTTTGACGTACTGATTTTCTTTTTTTTTGATATATAGTCAAAAGTGGGATTACTGGATCATATGGTAATTTTTTTTTTCTTTTTTTTGAGATAGAGTCTCACTTTGTTGCTCAAGCTGGAGTGCAGTGATGTAATCTTGCCTCACTGCAACCTCCCAATTTCTGGGTTCAGGCAATCCTCTCACCTCAGCCTCCTGAACAGCTGGGACTACAAGCATGTGCCACCATGTCCGGCTAATTATTTTTGTATTTTTGTAGAGATAACGTTTCACCATGTTGCCCAGGCTGGTCTTGAACTCCTGAGTTCAAGCCATCTGCCCGCTTTGGCCTCCCAAAGTGTTGGGATTACAAGCGTGAGCCATCACGCCTGGCCACTGTTTTTAGTTTTTTGAGGAACCTTCATACTGTTTTCTGTAGTTGTTGAACCAATTTACATTCCCACCAGCAGTGTATAAGAGTTATCTTTTCTCCATATCCTCACCAGCATTTTTTTTGTTGTTGTTGTTTTGATGACAAATAATTAGTCATCAGTTAATTAGCCTTTCTGGGATGAGATGGTATCTCATTGAGGTTTTGATTTGCATTTTCTTGCTAATTAGTGATGTTGAACATTTTTTTCATATACCTGTTAGCCATTTGTATGTTTTTTTTTGTCATTGTCATTTTTAAATGTAGATATAGAGTTTTATCGGGGGAACCAGCCTCCAGTATTTCAGCGTAGGTTCTTTTCTATTTTCCCTAAGTGTTGGCTGGTCTGAGAAATAAAGAGAAAGAGTACAAAAGAAAGAAATTTTACAGCTGGGTGTCCGGGGGTGACATTGCATGTCGGCAGGTTCCGTGATGCACCTTGAGCTGCAAAACCAGCAAGTTTTTATTAGGGGTTTCAAAAGGGGAGGGGTGTACAAATAGGGAATGAGTCACAGAGATCACATGCTTCAAAGGCAATAAAATATCACAAGGGCAGAGAGGCAGAGTGAGATCACAAGTTCAGGGCAAAACAAGAATTACTGGTGAAGGTCCATGTCCATTGGGCACACATTGTCATTGATAAACAAACATCTTAACAGGAACAGGGTTCGAGAGCAGATAACCGGTCTGACTAGAATTTGCCAGGCTGGAATTTCCTAATCCTAGCAAGCCTGAGGGCACTGCAGGAGACCAGGGCACATTTCATCCTTTATCTACAACTGCATAAGACAGACACTCCCAGAGCGGCCATTTTGGAGACCTCCCCCTGGGAATGCATTCGTTTTCCCAGGGTTATTCCTTGAAGAGAAAAGAATTCAGTGGTATTTCTCCTATTTGCTTTCTGAAAGAAGAGAAATATGACTCTGTTCTGCCTGGCCCTGCAGGCAGTCAGACTTTATAGTTATCTCCCTTGTTCCCTGAAAATTGCTGTTATCCTGTTCTTTTCAAGGTGCCCAGATTTCATATTGTTCAAACACACATGCTTTACAAACAATTTGTGCAGATAACGCAATCATCACAGGGTCCTGAGGTGACATACATCCTTAGCTTACAAAGATGATGGGATTAAGAGATTAAAGACAGGCATAGGAAATTTATTGTAAGAGTATTGATTGGGGAAGTAATAGATGTCCATGAAATCTTCCCAATTTATGTTCAGAGACTGCAGTAAAGACAGGTGTAAGAAATTATAAAAAGTATTAATTTGGGGAACTAACAAATGTCCATGAAATATTCACAATTTATGTTCTTCTGCCATGGCTTCAGCTGGTCCCTCCATTCAAGTTCCCTGTCTTCCCTCAACAGAGTTTATTTGTGCCAAGATGGAGGATTGCAGTCCGGAAGCATAGATTCAAGTTGCCCTGAGTATAAACTTCCTGTATGTCTTCTTTTGAGAGATACCTATTTAACTTATTTGCCCTTTTTTAAATTGGAGTATTTTTTTTTTTTTTCTGTTGAGGTTTTTGACTTTCTTGTATCTTCTGGATATTGAACCCTTGTTGGATGTATAGTTTGCAGGTATTTTTTCCCATTCTACAGGTTGTATCTTCATTCTCTTGTTTCCTATGCTATGCAGAAGTTGTTATTTTGATGTAATCCTGTTTGTCTGTTTTTGCTCTTGTTTCCAGTGCTTTTGCAATCTTCTCTATAAAATCTTTGTCCTGACCAGTGCCCTGAATAATTTCCTCTAGTAGTTTTTGAAGCATTGTCTTACAATAGTTTCA